CTCCACTGTGTTTTTAAACTCCACACACCTTCACTAGAATCATGGAGATACTTTCAGCCAATTGCCAATCTCTACTGAACTACAGGTAAAAGTCGGGTTGGCACCGCTTAGTGCTTCTGCTCAATTTCATTTCTCTCCCCCGACTAGGTCAGAAATCAAAATACATTAGATGGTTTACAAGAGCCCCGGAAGTTGTAGACCACACGCCGGCCAATCAGCGAAGAGCTGTGAAGCCATGACGTCAAACTCAAGCTCTTGTCTGGGTCCCTTTTGTGGAACAACACAACAGTAAACAAAACATCGAGATCAATGTAGACGAAGACAGACATTCTGTGTTGGTAACGTTTCCTGAGATCGAGGATTTAAAGCCGGAACAAAGAGAATGTTTGGTGAATTTTGTCAATGGGGAAAGACGTTATTGTCCTTCTTCCTACAGGATTTGGGAAAAAGCTTAATATAGTAGTTAGCCCCATTAGCGGCACCTTACATACTTCACAACCAAATAGCAGCGGTTGGTTACATAAAAAAGTACCCGCCTACCGTTGAGCGAACAAATCCTAATGCTGCGAGGTCAAACGGTTTCTACGAAGTGAAACCGGCTGATGAATCAGGCTAAAGGCAGAGTACAGGAACTGACAAATAAGAGCAATTTTGAGCTCAATATTTCTTCCAGCCATGGGACCAAGTCGTTTTGCAAATCTCAAGTCTTTGACCGCAAGTGTGAGTCAAGTCCCAAGTCAAATACAGTTAAGTCCAAGTCAAGTCTCGAATCACTGGCCCATAAGTCCAAGTCAAGTCCAAGTCGTCTGCTTTGAGCTTCAAGTCATTTCAATTCTTTAAACCAAAGTAACTTAGATTTTTGCAATTTAGTTCAGTTCGCAAGTTCGGTTCTCGTAAGGGCTCGTAAAGCGCGATCGGGTGATGGCCGCACTTACCTTCGCGAGGTGCGGAACTGAGCCGGTCCTTTCTCCTGCGGTCACCTTCGAGCCCGTCCCGACAGTGAGTCCTGTTTCAGTTTTGGTTTAGTCCTTGGTTTAGTCCTCCTCTTCAGTCCTGGAATCAGTCCTAGGTTAGTCCTGGGTTAGTTCTGGTTTAGTCTTAGTTTAGTCCGTGGCGTAGGCAGTGCAAAAATTTGATATCATCTCAGGTTTGGGGCGGGTGCGGTCCTGTACTGCGCGGGTGCAGAAATGGACCCGTGCAGGACTCTGCACTGTAGGGCTGCATTACAGAATAAATTTATCTTTGTTTCGTTACATAAAGAAGGAGGAAAATAACAAAAGGACGACAGCAGCAATAAGTTTTAAGAAGGATGTAAAAGGGTTGTAACTGTCCTGTGTGAGAAAAGTGTATAAAGTGTGTGCTGAGGGGTTTTACAGCCTTAAAGGTTGTATGGAGGATTTTTTTTAAGGGAAGAGAAATACAGCGACAGTCCTTGTGTGCATTCAGGATTACTGTTGAAGTTTCCTGTCTAGAAGTAATTCAGCGACCAATGCGTCAGTTTTTAGATCCTTCGTCTGCTTCGGTCGCGCCATCGCTGGACGAGATCTCCAAGAATCACCTTAGTTTGGCTTTGCTCCTTTTCCCCCATCTCTTCTTCTTTCAGCGACCTCAAAAACTGACTTTCTTTTACGGCGAACTGGTCGTGGATTCTCGTCCGCCGTCGCGTCAAACTTTGTGCGAAATGCGAGGAAGCGACAGTTTGAAAAAGCCTCTAAGAACCGCTGTGTAAACCACGTAATCCCCGCGCTCCGATGAGTCAGTTACACTAGGGAGTTTGACTGACAACCTAACAGCCAATAGAAAATGAGGGAGCCTCGTTTTCTATTGGCTGATGTTTATCTGGCCTCAACACGTCCACAGTTGATAGATTTTCGTTCTTTTTTTTTTTGGTCATCATAATTACAAAGCTGCTGCGTCTCTGTAATGGTATTTTAATCTTTCACTGACAGTTTGAAACTAAAAAAAAATCCTCCATACAACCTTTAAAACAGATATAATAATTGTAAATATAAAGTTGACTACTTCGCTGATTTCACCTGTCACAGGGACCACTGTAATAAACATGTGTGAGTGAAACAAAACACAACTCTGGGTCTGTTTACGACAAGGAAACAACATCGCAGTACAACACAGATGAGAAAATATGGTAATATGTGCCCTTTACGTCCCGCCTCTGTCACTGTCTGCTGGTTGAATAACTTGATGGAGCTTATGACGTCACCGTTTAATCACCGTCTCCCAGTATTTGAGGCTGGAATAATGCACGCCCTGTTTACTGCAACTTCCATCATAAAGTATTAAGCATGTGTTAAGCCTGCTTATGTCCGCTACACGTGAATCTGGGTTACTCTCCCATGGTATGTGCGCTATAGAGGAAACTGGAGCGCAGAGGACACTTCACTTTTCCACGAAATTATAATCACAATCGCAATTAACACGATGCACTTTGATTACTGATGGTGATGGGGGATTAGGGGAGATTTGGAGATGATGAAGGTGAAGCAGCCGTGAGCCTAAATATAATCATTTTGTTGGCAGCTACTTTTTCTTGAAGGTTTCAGAATAATATAAACATGGATATTTTTTTTTAAAAGAGGAGGTATTACGCAAAATGTACTTTCTTTTTTAGCTTTTTGTCATGTTTAATGTTGTTCCCTCGTCAAAAAACATGCCTGAAGAGGTTTTAGGTGTCATCCATGCATGTTTGAGTGATTTTTGGAGAATTTGAGTAATTTAGCAATCTCTCCCAGGCCTTTTTCAAACTTTACTATTAACTGTATTCATTTTTTGCAATGCTGCATCCACAAGCTTACGTCAGCCATGCTCCCATGCAACAATTCTTCATAAATATACAAAAAACATGATACAAAACAATGCACTACGTCTTCACAAACCTTTCATAAACGGGATACACGCTGATTGTGTTGTGATGATGCTCTGAAGGAGGAGTGACTTAGCACGGACAGGAAAGGGAAGGGGAAAGTCAGAGCGACAAAAACAAAACTGACTTATAAAATATGTTTTAGGTGAATATATAATTTTTAAAACAATAAAAGGTAACATGGTGATTTAAATATGTTGTGCTAGGAATTAAGACCCCATAGAAGTGCAGTAACTTGTACTTTTGTTTCATTCAGGTACGTTTGATTCACTCTGCAAAAGTCTGTACCTGATGTTGAACCACGAGTGAAGAACATCATATTTCAGATGAACTTTCAGCTCCTCCACTTGAGCCCTTCTCTCGGTCTGACGTTAAATCACTGTGAAACTCTAGTGTTCAGTGTTTGACTGTTTACTGCTCGAAGCGCCGTACGTGTAGAACAGGTCATCTCACCACATCGCTGATTTAAAGGGCCCATCTCATGCAAAATCAACTTTTCAGAGCTTTCTACCCTCTAAGAGTGATGTGTGGGCCTTGTATATCTCATCAAAGTGATTTTTAGATTGATTCTGCGTTTTTTTTAACAAATTGCAGCTTTTATTTTTGCCTCCCTCCCACATGACAACGAACTAAAGCTGCTACAACGATGACGTGGCAGCTACACCTATGACACTTTTGATGTAGCACAAAGCGCTTCACACCCGAACCCCTCCGCTCCACCGCCTCCACCCTGCATCAGCTGACAATTCCCACATGAACACCTGTTACGTACTGGCGCCCCTTTGCGAATCCCATTGCGTGGATTAATTGTCTGTTTTGGGGCGTGGTTGGTCCGCGTATAAACAGGCCGCCTATCAGTGGCTCGTTCTCTTGCTCTTGCTCTTGCTCCTGCGCGCTCACTACGCACCGCCTCGCCCTCCGCACACCTGGGCGCGCGCTCGTCACTATGCGCGCTGCTTTGTCTTGGCTGCTCGGCGCAGGCTGCTCGGTGCCTGTTAGCTGTTAGCCTTTTGTGTTTGACCTGGTGGGACCGGCTGTCCTGTTTTCGCCTTTTGTTTGGTAAGGTTAGTTTGGGGATGTCTTTTTTCTTTTAGTTCAGCGATGTTGGTACCAGCTTCTACGGCCCTGTACGGGGTTGGCCCGGTGCCACATCATTTTGTTCTGTTTGGTGCTCACCAGGTCCACCTTTCAGTTGTTACTTTGTTTTTTGGGCACGGGAGGGGTTTTAGCGATTTTAAAGTAAATTAAAATTAACTTAAAAATAAAAACATCTTTTACTTTTGTAACCTTTTCTCCTCCTGTGTCCTCATTAATATGTTTGATCCACCCGGGTCGTAACAACACCTAAACAAAAGCGACAGCATAAGTTCATTGTTCTACACTGCAGTGTACACGATATAATACATTTATCTACTAGAGTTTATTAATACTTGACCAATCAGTAATGTTCAGCTGATGTCGACGTGGTGCTTGAGCTTCGTGCACCTCAAAGTCCTCGTCCGATTCCGGGTCCAACACATGCGGCTGAACGCGTTGTATCTCCATGATGAATAAAAGTTTATTCCTGCCGCTATCAGGGTGCATGTCTGTCTCCCCCAGGCTCACTCAGAGCCTACGTCACGTTTGGAGGGCGGAGCCTGTGCTTTCTCAGGACGGGCGGGGGGATGAGCAATAGTCGGTCTTTCATAGTTCTTGGTCTGTGACTGTCTCCAAGAAATCAGTAAGATTTCATAACTATTGTGTAATGGATGTTCCAAAACCCAAACTGTGCAGAAGATACAATGTAAAAAGAGTTATTTTGCATGAGATGGGCCCTTTAAACACTGATTTAAATGCCAATTTGAGGTTTAAAATGAGAGTCAAAACACCACTCCTCCTCCAGGGCTGTTGTCATGGCTTTTAAAGCATCTTAAAGTACATGAGTTAGTTGCAACACCGGCAACAGCACTAGAGACCTTCCTGTGTGTCTCACCTAAAACAAAGAGCATGCTGAGTGTGCTAAAAGTGAAAAACCCACAGACACTTGTGTCAGGTCCCCCCCTCAGAGGCACAGAGGAGCAGTGTGGTGAAGAGTTTTACTGGTGTCATTCCATCTGAGTCACTTTAAACAAATCACTGTGTTTATGTGTGTTTATTTAGATTTTCAGAGCAGTGTTTTACAGACGATCCAGCAGAGGGCAGCGGAGAGCAGAGGTACTTCAGGGGCCACTCCTTTTGTCGCAGAGGCCAGTCCCAGACCTGAGACCGGAGCTGGGGACAAGAAGAACAGGTGAGAGAGGTCCATGCTTCAACAATACTTTGACTATACTTCAATACTTCAACAACAATACTTCGACAACACTTTAACACGTCACGGCTTTAGAACTGTTCTTTTACAGCCGTGAACTGAAACTGGGGTGGACCGCCCAAGCAGAACCAATCAGAGCACTGCTTTCGGCGCTTACTTCCGGGTCGACGAGAGATAAAAATACTTCATTTTATTCATTCATTTAAAAAAACAACTTTAAAGGTCCTGCATTACGCAAAATCAAGTCTCTTAGGCGTGTCAGAATGCTCGTCAAAAACATAACTGGACTTGTGTTTTGTTTCATTCACACATGTTTGTCTATATCGCTAACTCAAAATGCTCTGTTCTACCTTGTGACATCATGAAGTGGCATTTGAATGTGACAGTGAATGAAACAAAACACAGCTCCACAATACGGAGCTCTCGTCCTGCACTGGAGCTCTACACTGACAGCCCTTCCAGACTCTTCGCGTCGACTTTGTTTTTTGCGGCGTGATGCGGTCGGTCGCGTAAACGCCCCGCAGACGCTCTTGACCTCTGACCCCGGCCGAGACGAGGACGAGACGTTTGGATTCGTGATTTCGTCTGTCAGGGTCCCACCTCTGAAGAGCAAACCGGACCTGATGTTCAGCCAGAAGACGGTCCTCTGCTCTGCCACCGTGGCCCTGGAGAGAACGAGGGAAGAGAGGAGGAGGAGAGGAGGGAGGGAGGGAGAGGAGGAGAGACAAGAGGAGAGGAGGGAGGGACGGACGTGGGAGAGGAAGAGAAAGAAAGACAGAGGAGGGAAGAGAGAAAGAAGAGGAGGGAGAGACAAGAAGAAGAGGAGGGAAAGAGAGAGAAGAGGAATGAGAGAAAAGAGGAGGAGGAGAGAAGGTGGGAGGTAGGGAGGAGAGGAGGGAGAGGAGAGAGATAAGGGGAGGAGGAGAGAAGAAGGGAGAGAGGAGAGAAGGGAAAGACAAGAGGAGGAGGTGAGATGGAGAGAGAGACAGACAGACAAGAGGAGAGGAGGAGGGAGAGAGGAGGGAGGGACGGATGTAGGAGAGGAAGAGAAAGAGAGACAGAGGAGGGAAGAGAGAAAGGAGAGGAGGGAGAGACAAGAGGGGGAGGAGAGAAAGAGGGAGAGCGGAGGGGAGGAAGAGACGAGAGAAGGAGGCAGGGAGAGAGGGAGAAGGGAGAGACAGGAGGAGGGAGAGAAGGAGGAAGAGAGGAATGAGAGGCAAGAGGAAGAGGAGAGAAGGAGGGAGAGAGGGAGGGAAAATAGGAGGAAGAGACAAGGGAAGGAGGAAAGAGGAAGAGAGAGATAAAGGGGGGAGGAGAGAAGGAGGGAGAGGAGGGAAAGAGGGAGGAGAGGAATGACAGACAAGAGGAGGAGAAGAGAAGGAGGGAGAGAGGAGAAGAGGAAGAGAACAGAGAAGGAGGGAGGTAGGGAGGAGAGGAGGGAGAGACAAGAGGAGGAGGAGGCGAGAAGGAGGGGAGACAGAGACAAGAGAGGGAGTAGGGGAGGGAGAGACAAGAGGAGGAGAGAAAGAGGGAGGAGAGGAGGGAGAGACAAGAGAAGGGAGAGAGGTGAGAAGGAGGGAGAGGGAGAGACAAGAAGAAGAGATGAGATAAGGAGGAAGGGAGAGAGGAGGGAGAGACAAGAGGAGGAGAGAAGGAGGGAGCAAAAGGAGGAGGGAGGAAGGAAGAGAGAGAAGGAGGAAAGAGAGAGGGAGAGACAAGAGGGAGAGGGAGAGAAGGAGGGAAAGAGGAAGAGAGGAGAAGAGACAAGAGAAGGAGGAGGGAAGGAGGAGAGGAGCAAGAGACAAGAGAAGGAGGGAGAGGGAGAGACAAGAAGAAGAGATGAGATAAGGAGGAAGGGAGAGAGGAGGGAGAGACAAGAGGAGGAGAGAAGGAGGGAGCAAAAGGAGGAGGAGAGGAGGAGGAAGGAAGAGAGAAGGAGGGAGAGAGGGAGAGACAGAGGCAGAGGGGAGAGAAGGAGGGAAAGAGGAAGGAGAGGAGCAAGAGACAAGAGAAGGAGGAGGGAAGGAGGAGAGGAGCAAGAGACAAGAGAAGGAGGGAGAGGGAGAGACAAGAAGAAGAGATGAGATAAGGAGGAAGGGAGAGAGGAGGGAGAGACAAGAGGAGGAGAGAAGGAGGGAGCAAAAGGAGGAGGAGAGGAGGAGGAAGGAAGAGAGAAGGAGGGAGAGAGGGAGAGACAAGAGGCAGAGGGAGAGAAGGAGGGAAAGAGGAAGGAGAGGAGCAAGAGACAAGAGAAGGAGGAGGGAAGGAGGAGAGGAGAAAGAGACAAGAGAAGGAGGGAGTTACAAGAGGAGTAGTAGAGAGGGAGAGCGGAGTTGGGCAGAGGGAGAGAGTGTGTTAGTGTTTGTTTGTGTTGAAAAGGCGTCTGTGTGGAACAGGCTGAGCTGCTCTTACATGAAGTAGACGGGGCCCGTGGTGTCTGGGGGCCTCCAGCTGAACACTGTGGAGTTTCCCTTCAGGTTGATGTTGGCGTGGGTCACTGCACCACGACTGTTCCCTGAGCACTGGACACGGAAGAGAAAATAAAAAATAAGGAAGAGATACTGATAATTGGATGTATATGATTGATCGATTTTTATTATTCTAGTGTTTTACACATTTGTGCCCAGCTGCACGGGCTCACAGGACACTGTAAACACGTTCACAGACGCTACAGACCCATAAAAAAAACAAATAACCGCTCTGACAGAAACATGCTCTGATCATACAGAATACTTGTCGACTCCTGTCCCAGGCTCTAGAGATATAACGAACTAAAACAAAAAGCTCCCCATTATAAATTCAATTCATCATTCAGCAACCAGAATCCATCAGGGTTTGACGACTGTAGAGCAGTAAATAAAATATTCCTCAAATCAGAATACAGAGGACAGTAAAGAACAAAATGAAACTCATCCTCTACCTCCCCCAGGTCACACAAGGAGCTGGACACAGAGCGACCGCTGTTTTCTGATCAAATTTAGATTTACATACAGCTCTGTTTTGATCCTCCTTCTTAAAATGAATGTCATTTCTCAACTTTGCCCTCTTACAAATGTCAAATTTCCATTGTTTTTTTGAAGCTGACCTGCAGTTTCTGTTTCAACAAGTTAAGGATTAAACCGCAGTCCATTTCTACAGACATATTTTAAATAAGACATTTCAAAAATCATTTAAATTTCAATTCAGTTTCTAAGTATTATTTGCTGCTTGTACTTTATTAGTTACCCAATGTATTAACTACATTTTTATATGTACATTATGCAATAAATTAACTTATCGTTGTTGTCACCAGATTATTTTGTTCCAGAGTTTAAATTCAGACTTTATTTTTATGTTAAAAAACAGCTTCATACTTCATATTTTGAAATGACAGTAATGATAATCATAATAATGTTTGTTTTTTTAAACAATATATTTCCACTAGGGATGGGCATTCGATGAAATTTTCTTAATTGATCGTCGGAAGAATTAACGAACGATTATCGATTAATAATTAATGTTTTTATATTAAAATGATCATCATCAAACTGTAACGACTCTAGAGCCACATCAGCCCGTTTGACATTATAATGTGTTTAATTCAGTTTTGCGCAACTCTCACAGAAACGAAACTTAAAACCGCATCACTAATTTGCATAAATTAAGCGAAGATAAAACTACAGCTCTTGTGTCACTGATGTGGTTCAATTTCTGTTGGATTAAAAGACATGACTCAGGTGAATACAGGTTAGTGTGACCAGATTTGTGTTTGTAAAAACCAGGACACCGTACGGGGGGAGGGAGGTGGGGACTCGTCATCGACATTGCGCGACTCTCACCTGGTAAAACTTTTTCCCACTGGACACCGAAACATATGTGCTGCTTTGTTCACTGTGCACATGGACTCACACGGAAAGCGTTGAATTTCTTGTACAAATCATCGTTAAATACACATTTGTGCTTCGGTACGTTTCAGACTGACTGACTGTTTGTGTCTCGCTCCTTCTGATGCAGAGACACATGTACACACCTGTTTGGTCACACTACGCACAGCAACCTACATTCGGTTTGTCGATTAAAATTAATGTAATCGATGAAATTCTTAATGATCAATTATCGATTAATCGATTAATCATGCCCATCCCTAATTTCCACACATAATGACAGATATTTGTTTATAGTTTTATATGGTTTTACACTGGATCAAAATCATTCAGGAAAAGTTTGAGTTTTTTCAGTAGCGATACTAGTTTCAGTATTTGGGTTTTGATGTGTTTATTTTTTCAGAGGTGATCTGTGATCTGTTACTCTTTATTAATCTACATAAAATATCAAAGCCAGATGAGTCATTTTAAATCATGTGAATAACTCAGGACGTTTTCAAGTACAGCTCTTTGAAAGCCCAGGGGAACATCACTCATCACGTGATCCTGGAGACAGAGTGTTGGACTGACCTCCAGGAAGCGCGTGTCAGGGGGAGGGAGCTGCCAGGTGCCCAGGGCGGAGAGGCGTCCTGGGGCTCGGGCTTCCAGGAGCAGCCCCCTGTAGTCAGGCCCCACGATGGTCACTGAAGAAAGGACACAGCGTTAGGTAAAGACGTGTGAGGATCCACTAATGAGCCTGGTACTGTGGTCAAATCTAGTGCCACTGCTCCACAGTGTTAGTATTATTTCATTTCATTTACAGTTAAGTAAGTTAATTATACCACAAATAACTGAATTTACCGTATTTTTTGGACTATAAGTCTCTCCGGAGTATTAGTCGCACCAGCCAAAAAAGGTGTAATGAAGAAGAAAAAAACATATATAAGTCTCACCAGACTATAAGTTGCACTTTTTGGGGGAAATGTATTTTATCAAATGAGAGACCAGGAACTGACATTTTATCTTTATTATCTTTATTTTTATACCTTGTCTTTGCATTTCTGTTTGGTCCACTGCAAAGGTGCACAGTGTAACTTTTCTGGTGGAGGTCAAAATCTGTTTCTCCATGGAGATGTTATTGCTTTGTCTGGAATGTTTCACAGTATGACATTACAGCTTTCTGTCTTCATGGAGATCAAGTTACAGGTCAGATCTGTGAAGAGGCGACCCCGCTCACAGTCAGAATACCTGTTTTTCTTGGTATTTTTGAGATATAAAACCACCTGTATTTGAGTAAATGTAAGGTAGAGCTGTTTAATGTCATACTGTGGAACATTCCAGGCAGAGCAAATGACATATGGGTCATTCCACGGCATTACACCAAATCGCCCACGCACTTCGATCTCAAAAAATTTTGAAAAAATTACTAGCTAGGTTTAAAAAGGGGGCTAAAAATGGTACGCCATGGAAATGAACACGTTTTTTTTTTTTTTAAGTTCATATAAAATGACAGTGAGTTGAGATTCCAAACCTTTGATAGTTGTTATTTGAACACAGAGTAGAGGAGTACAAGCCTATAAAATGTCAGTCCTCTATGTGTGATACGTACGGAGATATCGACCTGTGAAAACGGCCGAGAAAAAATGATGCGATTTTGGGCCCGTAAATTGACACATACTTCCCTCCATAAAATGAGCTGTAACTTGAAAAGTAATGGTAAAAAATAGTAATTGAAAATCCCTAAAATTTCACAGGGTTGGTACATGATAGTAAGGGACCAGTTGGTAATTTTTTACAAAATTTTTAAAAAACATAATGCATGAGATTTTCTGGAAATTTGATGAAATGCGTGGAATGACCCATATATATAAAGAGAAAAATATCACATGTCTGATCTAGTTTGTCTTTCAAGACTGAAAGGCAAATTATTTTCAAATGTCGCAGCATGTGACCGTGTTCTGAGCACCAGGCTAATGGGACTGTAACTATCTCATCTCACACGACACTCAACACTCTCCTCACAGAGCAGCGTTTTAAAGCTGTCAAATGCTTTTCTCCATGGAGATGTTATTGCTTTGTCTGGAATGTTTCACAGTGTGGCATTAAACCTTTCTATCCAGACCAAGTTGCAGGTCAGATCAGTCAGACTGTCTGTTTTTCTACGTATTTTTGAGCTGTAAAACCACCTGTAATTGAATAAATATAAGGTAGAGCTGTTGAAAGTCATACTGTGGGACATTCCAGGCAGAGTAATGACATCTCCATAGAAACAAGCAAAAAGTTACATGCACTTTTAGCTTTAAGAGTTTGTCTGTCCATGTTTGCTGCTGTATTACAGGAAACACAGGAGATTGTCGGGGGTTAATATTTACCAGAAATGCTCCTGAAAACTCAATGAAAATGTGATTTACAAAACATTTTGACATTTTCATCATCAACACTTTATTGACACTAAAATCCAAAACTCCACTTCTCCAACACAATGCACCAAACGCCAGGATACAGGAGTCAGAGGTTAAAAAAAAAAAAAGATAAAAGAACAAAACACAAGTCCAAGCTCTGCCAAAACTACCTCAGGAAAAAAAGAACAAGATGGTAAAACTTGAAAACATGGAGTGTCCAGCAGCACAGTGTCCAGACTTAAACCCCATGGAGGTTTGGGACGAACTGGACAGAAGAGTGAAGCGACCGACAAGTGCCACACATTTATGGAAACTTCTGCAACAGACTTGGGAAGAACTTTCTGGACAATATTTGATTTCTGTTGTAAAAGGAACGAGCCACACTGTAAACCTGAACATTCAAAGTAATTAAAAAGATTAAGTCGTGTACACAACATTTTTAGAAATAGTCCTACTAACTTAATTATGTCAAGTTGCTGTAACACATTCTTCTTTTTACTTTTAAAAAAAAAATATTATTAAAGGGAACTATTGTGGGTATAAGTGAGAGTAACTTAAAAACACAGATGAGGTACAACTTAGTAGAATTAAGTAGTTAAAAATAATATCTAATGTGTGTATAATGTACTAGGTGGATACTACAGTGTGTCATGTATGTAAGTATGTATGTATTATTAATCTATATACATATTATATAATATTGATTAGACTAGTAAATCCTCTGACTTTCACGTGAGGACTCTGGGTTCAAATCCCCCTCCTATGGTGTGTATAATGTGTGTTTACGATGATGTGTCTATATGTATAATATAATGTGTGTAGATATACTTGATTGTATGTACAATGTGTGTACAAAAATCATGGATTACATATAAAAGTGACATTTAATTAAATTATTCCAGTGGTTTGAAAACTCTAACTACAAATATTTGAGTTGATCTGAATGAGCACTTTGAATTCAGCTGTTATCAAAAAGTACAAGTAGCAAACCATCCAACCTTTTAAGTTCTGGAAGACTGTGACTTTTATGTTTATCAACTTAAAATAATTGAGGCAGTCGGTTGCCCCAGTTTTTTTTTAGTTCTGGTAACTTATTCGGGTTTACAGTGAGTGTGTTAAGCTGTTATATCTGCCAAAGGTGAACACTTTGTTGAGTCAAAAGTTTAGAATAAGTTTTGGTCTATAAATTGATTCCATGATTTATTTTTCAACTCAAAATGCTTTTTTGTTTTGTGCTTTCAGTTCAGAGCAGTGACACAATAAACTGGAAAAAGTGTGTTCTAAAACTTTGGATCAATCAGTGTATCTCTGCAGTGTATTAAATTTTCTTCTTCAATAGTTTTGAACTCTTAATAATAATAATAATATCACATTTTATTTATTAGGCGCCTTTCTGGACACTCGAGGTCGCTTTCATTTAAAGATTTTCAGTTTTGTGACATTATGAATTTGGAATTTAACAAAACAGTAACATGTCACAAACAAATTATGAGAGAAATTGATAAAAATGGGACAAAACAAAAGAAATTATACACATGCACAAAACCTGAATGGCTTTTCTCACATCCAGGTCTCCACTCAGGTCCTGAAATGTGTTTAAACTCACCTGTGATGGGTTTGCCCGGGCTGTACACGGCGGCGTCGGTGAGCAGGGTGTAGGGGGGACGAGAGGTCTGCGGTGTCACCCCCATGTGACGCGGCATCATGTCCTCACAGGCGCCCGTGGGTGCTCCACTGGGGTAGGCCCGCACCCATAACGGGCACGAGAGAAGAACCAGCGACCCGAACCAGAGCGCAGCCATCGGACTGACGGGCTGAGGAGGTCTGGGTCAGAGGAGCGGAGTGAGGCGGCGCACACAGAGCTGTGTCAGATTTAGATTTACACGCCTCATGTCAGAACGGAGGAGGAGAGGACTCAAAAACACTTCAAGGTCTGATATTACACAAAATGACTCTTGAGAGCTTTAAGTTTTTACTACATCAGAAACGAACCTGTTTAAGAAACCCTTTAGTATTAGGGATGTAACAATAACAGAAATATCGTGATATCGTCAAAGTTCTCACAGTAATATCATGAACCATCACAATATATCGAATTACAAGTGTCTTTGTTTAAATTAAGAGCTGTGTTGGGGAGTAACAGATTACATGTACTGGCATTACGTAATCAGAGTACAAATTATGAGTAACTGTATTCGGTTACAGTTACTGGATTGGATTACAGTTACTTTGTTGAAATAAATGGATTACACTGCTGTATTTTCACATTTTGGGCTGTTTCCCATTTTTTAAATATATATATATTTTTTTTTATTTTGGTAATTCCATTTATTTCCGGAAAATAAACCAGGACTAAATCAGATCTAAACCAGGTGTAAACCAAACGGAATTTTTGAAAATGAGTTCTCATGGGTCACTTTTGGTGGAGCTTAGGTACTTTTCCACCTGCTGGAACGATTAAATGATCTTTAATAGTCTTAAACACTATATACTTGTTATAAGGGATACAGTTGGAGTCTTTCATTTGGTTATTTTTTTTATTTGGAATTTTTTGGAAATTTTTCAGCCAAATCTGAGATGGCTCACAGGGGGAGATTCCATGAAAACGGCTGATTTTTACTATATGAAATAAGTAAGAGTCAAGTTACTTCTGAACTCTGTGAAAGTTCAGTTTGAACTCATTCAAGTACGATAAACAGTGTAGAAGGTCAACAGGATTACTTCAAAATAATATTACTCAAGTAGAAATTTGTTAAATTAAAAAGCAATTAAAAAAAAGAGAGAGATAAAGAGATTCCAGGGATGAAATACAGTCATAACTTCAAATCAATCCAATCCAGTCCACTTTATTTCTATAGCACATTTCACAAACAAACAGTTTCCAAAGTGCTGCACAAATACATAATAACAACAATAATAATAAAATGATAAAATAAACCCTTAGATTTAATCATACTAGTCTTAAAATAATAAAACCAGTAAAATAAAATAAGAGCAAAATCATAGAATAGCAATAAATAAATAAATAAAACCGATAAAATACATTTAAAATAAATAAAATAAATAAAAGACACAGAGGACGTGCGGGGGCAGAGTGTTCCAGAGTTTAGGGCCGACCACACAGAAGGTCCGGTCCTGCCTGGTTTTAAAGGTTGTATAGAGGATTTTTTTAAGGGAAGAGAAATACAGCGACAGTCTTTGTTCGCGTTCAGAATTAGTGTTGAAGTGACTGTTTAGAAGTAATCAGCGACCGACGCGTCAGTTTTTAACCCTTCGCCTGCTTCGGTCGCGCCATCGCTGGACGAAATCCAAAAACCTCAGTTTGGCTTTGCTCCTTTTCCCCTTCTCTTCTTCTTTCAGCGACCTCAAAAACGGACTTTCTTTTGGGGTGAACGATCGTGGATTCTCGTCCGCCGTCACGACAAACTTTGTGTAAAATGCGAGGAAGCGACAGTTCGAAAAAGCCTCTAAGAGTAAACCGCGTAATCCCCGCGTCCGACGAGTCAGTTATACTAGGGAGTTTGATTGACAACTCAACAGCCAATAGAAATGAGGGAGCCTCGTTTTCTATTGGCTGATGTTTATCTGGCCTCCACGTCCACAGTTGATAATTTTCTTTTTTTTTTTTTTGGTCATCATAATTCAAAGCTGCTGCGTCTCTGTAATGATATTTTAATCTTTCACTGACAGTTTGAAACTAAAAAAAATCCTCCATACAACCTTTAAGTCTCGTCTTAGGCGCCACGAGCTGGAGCTGGACCAAGAAGTCAAAATCTGAAACCTAAAAACTGATCAAACTGGGAAAGAAAGTGTAAAATGTTTTGCAAGATCTTAAATATAACGATTTTAACTGGGTTTGAATAAAATGTGCGCTCCAACCTGACGCAGAACTGTTCGCTGGTCTGTGTGTTGCTCTCACCACATTAACTTGAGTCTTTCCAGCGAGGACAGAGACACTAAGTGCTTATGTATCTTTCACACAGGAACAGAGCACACGCCGTCCACTGCTTTTGTCAAGGAGGAAAATCTATGAAAGTTTGATGAAGTTCACACTGATTAATTTATGTTAAGTAACAGTATTATGGCTCTGTCCCGTCTACTTAAAGGAAAAGAGAATGAACATTTGCGCACTATTCATGATCGGAAATTCCACAAGATGAACTGAAGCGATATCACATTAGAATCCCTATTGATACTTCAAGATTCCCCGGGGTGTGATGCTAACTGTAGGCTCTGCTCTGTCTGTATCACAGTTTCAACAAGCACAATCAGAGAGAGCAACCTGGTCTCCATGAGGCATCGGTGGGGTCAGTTCATCACCACAGAAGCAGTTTATGAGGAGCCCGGTCGATATTACATGATCGTTATATCCACAATGTCATGTGTGTATGTGTACAGGCCCATGAACATTTGTGTGATACTGGTCACACGTGAGAATGTCTGTGTTTACTAGTGTGGAACCAAAATGTCCTTTTTCATGAGTTGCGTATATGTTAGTTCTGTGACAGCAGATCAGTGTGTTGTGTATCACCAGAAAAAGAAGAAATGGAAATTATTTTTGTTCCAATTCGAATTTGAACGGCAAACACTGAAAGAGAAAGGAAGTGTTATAATCACTAGTGACGGGCGAATGAGACGGAGCTCCGCAGCACGTCTCGTTCTTTCTGAAACAAATTGCTCCGACGCACTGCCTCGGAGCTCGTCTCGCAGCAGCCGCTCACGTGACCAAAGGGTGGAAGTGTCGGTCCCTCCCCCGACTGCTTCGCTCTGCGTGTCGATCGCTTCAGTGTATCGAAGGGTTTCATTGGCTCAGCGAATGTTCCGCTCTGTGATTGGTTCAGAGTGTTCAGCGCACTTCTGTGGTTTGACGAGTGCTAAACTGCCACAGTATAAAAGGTGCACCAATATTTCTTAAAAATGTTGAGTAGTGAGGAGTGTTGTGTGACGTTAGTGGTGATTTTGGCGACTTTTGGCATTTGTTTCATTTTCGATGGCATCTACAAGTGGAAAAAAGTGATTCGTGGTTTGGGATCGTTTGCTATTTATGTTTCTCTTTACATATTATTTTAAATCATCATTATTATTGGTTGTTGTTGTTAGGGTGTTGCTCTGCACACAAGTATTGTCTTACACTAACAATACTTCATCGACGCTGAGACGCCTGCGTGCCAATGGTTACATTTGTCCACTAGAGGTCAGTGTTTCTCCGAGGCCTCAGACACGTCGAACCATTTGAGACAATATTGCTGCTGAGGTGTCAATGCTTCACGAGGCTCCATTCGCCCGTCATTAGTAATTAGTGATTATCTCGAAAAACTACCGTATTTTCTGGGTTATTAGACGCGCTCTTAAGCCTCTAACCCCATCAAAAAACGACTGCGCGCCCCACAATCCAGAGCGCCCTGTACACGAATCCACTCGGGTGTCCCAGCACGACTTCAGTAAACACACACGGAGCAGACAGCGACCGCACAGCGACAAACACCCGCAGACACACTCATCACTCCACGCCGACGAGGAACGGAACGGAGGAACGAACCTAAAAAGCGAGCGCAATGTGCCGCTTCTAGACACGACTGAACAACTGAGTCACTGCGAACACGCCGACAATCCAGCGATCCCAGACAGCACCCTCCCTACACGCCACAACTGAACAAAGCCCAGAGTCACCGTGAACGCACAAACAAACAAAACCACTCACCCATCACACTGTTGTGTTTCCTTTAAAGTCTGGTGCGCCAACTTGTGTGAGGATTGGGTGAATATTTTAGGCCGCAGATGGTTCAGAAATTGCCAAAATTGCCTTTATAATATAATCCTTTATAATGGCGTGACTGTCATGGTTCATGTTTGTAGTGGTTGTATTTGCTCATTTTGGTGTTTTATTTTGACATTTGTCTTGTCTGCTTGTAGTTTGAGTTTTACTTCCTGTCTTGATTGTTTGCCCCACCCTAATGTGTTTCACTCGTGTCTGCATTTATACCCTGTGTTCTCCTCTGCCCTTTGTTGGTCCATTGTCACTATCAGAGTCTCGTCTTGTCTCATGTCATGGCAGTTTAGTTTCGAGTTTTGGATTTTTTGGATTTGATATTAAATACTTTAAAGCAGTCCTGCATTATGGGTCCTCCCTCTGTTTCTACATGACAGTGACCTTTCAGTTGACCCGTGTGACCTCAAATGATTTCAGATCGTCACCAAACTTTTTTTTTTTTGCGGCATCGGGCACGAGGGCTTGACTCACGTTCCAAATTTGGTGACAATCGGTCCATAAATGGTGGAATTATCGCGGGTGGACACACACACACAGACACATCTTTATCTTTATCTTTTTGTGTTCTGGTGAGTCTCCCTGATGTTTCCTTTTCGCATTCCTTTTGGTGTTCCTTTTCTCGAATGTGGAATGCCCGGCCTGTTTCCCCTACGTATGATTTATTGCATGATTTGCATTCCACATTCGAAAAAAGGAACACCAAAAGGAAGGCGAAAAGGAAACATCAGGGAGACTCACCAGAACACAAAAAGATAAAGCAGAACAGGAAAACCTAAAATCTGCCATATCAGACACTGTAAAAGGAACAACCACATTATGGATCTGGACGGGGCTCGGGTCATTGGATCAGAAAACAACAAGTTCAAACGCTGGATCAAGGAGGACAGTGAAATCAGGAAACGAGGCACGGACAGCATGACCCGTGATGACGGAGCGTTCCTCCTTTCACACACCTGGGACACCCTCCTCCAAAGACACCGGGCGACGGGAGGCGTGGTCAGTCTGAGCGACCTGCAGGTCCGTCAGGCTGAC